TTCACTAAAGTGACTAGATTCAGGGTTGCTCTGCTAAGAGGAGAATGCATTTTGGTGATGGGCAGGTCATAAATGCACACTGCAGATAGTCCTGGGGACCACACAGTGATTAGGTAGTTGAGAAGACAGAAACGAGAGATGGGAAAACTAGTCCTAAAACTTGCTGGGAGGGATCTGAATATTAAGCAGCTTCCCTGAATTCAAAAGGAAGTCCCAGGTCCCCTTGAGCCATGAGCATGGTCTTTCTGTAGCTGGAGTGATGGGCACAGGAGTGATGGGGGTTGCATCATAGCATCTACCTGCCTTGGCCCCCTGGACCTAAAAAACCAGGCAGCAGTTCAGAGCTGTGTCAAGCTGGGACATTTTTCCTTTGGTGCTGGCTCCATGCAAGGTGCCAACTTATGCTTGTAAATTCATAGCGTGATGCCTTCACCGCTCTGCAGCTGTCTCCCAGTTCTCCCACTGATGATCCATAAAGGGTTAAAAGCCCCACAAGCTCCATTGAGTTCATCTGGAGTTGTGGGAGCTCGGCACCTTTCTGGATCAGTCCCTAAGCATCTGGGGTAACATGTTGGGTTCCTTCTCATCACCATTTCTTTATATCACAAAAACACTCTCCACTTATCTTCTCAACGCTTTCGGTCTCCTGAGGGATACGGGTGCTTCAAACACCAACTCTGGCATCATTCAAAATAAACTGGAAATGCAAGGTTGGACACTCCCAAGTCTTTCAATGCATTTGGTTCAGTGCAGACTAGATGAGTATCCTATTCATTGACTAACAGTGTCCTGAATAAAGTCACTTCTTGCATTTTTTCTTCTCCAGAGCGGGATGTCTCGGGGCTGAGTCAGGGGGGAGGAAGAATGCATTTAGCTGATAAATTCCTGGATGAAACCTACTCTTCATTACAAGGCATATTCTGCCCTTGGCTAATTGTGCAGAGCACTTGTTAGATGCTCTCTGTAGTGTCCCAGCAGCATTTTGCCCCTGCAGCGGGGTTGCAAAGGGGATGGAGCTGGACTGTTCTGGGTGGTGGCAGATGACAGGACAAGGAGCAATGGGCTCAAGCTGCAGCAAGGGGGTTTGAGGTTGGATATTAGGAAAAACTCTTACTAGGAGGGTGGTGAAGCAATGGTATTGGTTGCCTAGAGAGGTGGTGGAGTCTCCATCCTTGCAGGTTTTTAAGGCCCGACTTGACAAAGCTTTGGCTGGGATGATCTAGTTGGGAATGGTCCTACTTTGAGCATGGGGTTGGACCTCCTGAAGTCCCTTCCAACCTTAATTTTCTATGAGTTTATGATTCTATTATTCTTATAGAATAATGCTCAGGGCAGGGATTAAATCAGGGTGTTTCCACCTGGCTCTAAGGCAGCTCGACTCTATTCAGAGCCCTTGCAAAGTGGAAGGTAAACCACGGAGGTTCGGTTACTAATGTCTCATCTGGAAGAGCCTCTTCAGAGCTTGTGGTCCTTCAGGGGGAGGAGAGAGATGCCTCCTTTCTCGGGTGGCCCAGGGAATTTTCCAAGCAGAAGAAGACTTACTCCACATGCTTTATAACAGGAGCCACGTGATCTGTGGTTTGGCCAGGTCCAGGATTTGCAGGGCAGCCGGCGACACCCTAAGTGGAAGGTGATAGTGATACCCTCTGGGGACAGTGCGTGTCTCAGAAGTGAGGATAAAGGAAATGGAATAAATGCATTAACGCCATTATCTTGACTGTCTGCTTCCCAGCTGGGGAGATAAAGGAGGCTATGTCCACAAAAAAATCCCAGACATATGCCCTTCAGGCTGGCAGCAGGTCTGTTTTGCTAGCATAACCTACCTGCTCCATCGGTTGCCCATGGCATGACCAAAAGTAGGGACTCAGCCATGCCAGGGCTTCAACAACTGCTCCTACTTGCCACTTCCACATGTGACCCACAAGAACTCCCTTAAGACAAATGGAGAAGGTGGTCTTATGGTTATTTATATCCACTCCCCACTTATTCCCCACCATAGCATCAGTCAGCTGTCACGGGGAGGTAGGGAAGGATTGTGGCACCCATTTTGCAGATGGGGGACAATGAGGCCTGAAGGTCATGTGAGAAGTCTGGACTTGCAGTGCTGGAGTTAGAAGTAGGAGTACTAACGAACCACTTAGTTATCTCGCCTTGCTCTGGTGAAGGCACCAAGCTCCCATTGACCTGCTGTGGTAGGGGAGTGGAGTTAACACTTCTCCGCCCTCTTTATCTTTGAAACTCTCCCTTGACAATGGCAGTGTCCAAGCCAGGCGAACAATGAAACTTGTGGCCAAAGCAAACCTAAAGTATCCCATCACCCCTCCCCAATACTAATGGCGCAGAGAGATGAATGGGCTCCAGCATGGAGCAGAGGCCTTGGCCTTCCCCGCGTGGCACTCTCTTCCTCCTCCTCTCACACAGGATGATGCTTTCTCTCTTCTCTTGGTGGTAGAAGATAAACAGAGCCTTGATTGGGAGACAGGCAGTAAATTATTCAACATTAATGCCACAGGAGACCAGAATGAAAGATTTCGGGGGAAGGATAATAGCAGGACTGTCCAAAATAGCATAACTTTGCAAAGGTGAGCGGTGACATTCGGGGTCCATGGGTTAGCGTGGGGGGCATGCTCTTCTGATCTGATCATCCTGAGCCATAACTCGGCACAGAGGAAAGAAGTCAGCTTTAATATCCTGACACTAACTCAGACCTATAAGTTGCTGTATATAGCAGGCGTCATTTTGGTGCAGATCAGTCAGTTTACAGCAGCTAACGTCCAAGCCCGTAGAGACTGTGTTCAGAGATATAGCAAATTAAGGAAAATGCCCCAAATTCACTTCTGCTAACCTCCAGTTCAAAAGCCCCTGGGGGCTTGTATTCTCTGTGCTGAAAGACTGTATTGTTACCTAGCACTCTTCATCCCTAGACCTCAACACCTTTCACACAAGACAAGAAGCATCAGTCCCCATTTAGCACATAAGGGCGGTGGGATGAAATGACGACTATTCCCGGCTCTGCTGCTGATCTGGCATTTGATTGCGGTGATTCCCAAATGATTCCCAGGAGAGTCTCCCATCTCCTGTGTGCTATTAATTCCCATAGGGATGGTGCGCCCTCATGGCCCAAAATGAAAGGCTTTGCAGTCATCGTGGACCATGGTAAAAAAACCCTTCACCTTCCACTCGGAGAGCGGCAGAGGAAGGATCATTTCACTTGCTTTCGATAGCAGGCTTACGCAAAATTTCCCCCGGTCTTAGCAAACGTAAAGGGAAGTTACATTTCCTAATGGCGCTCTAGTGCTCTTGATTCTGGCTTCTCTCAGGGTCACGGAGACGGGGTTTTCTGGCGTAATTACACGTTCTCTGTTCCCTGTGGACTCGATGCTTCTAATAGCGTGTTTCTATCACTTCTGTCCTGCCCACTTCAATCTAGGTTATGAGATCGCTTGCCACCCAGAGTTAGTTCATGGAGTGCAATTGCAGCAGCTGCTGCAGTTCAAGGCAGAAGGAGCAGTGACTCTTCCAGGACAAGACAGCAGGGCCGGTGCAGCTGCATGCTCAAGGATTGTGAAGCAGAATGGCATAGCTTGCGGGTCTGGGTAGGGAGTGGAGAGAGCTTGCTATGTGCTGCCTGTCTATACCTCAGCACCCCGGCTGAGAATCACTGAGAGACTCTTTGAAGGGTGAGAAGAGATGCAAACCATGAAGAGACAAGCGGATAAGGGCAGGCTCAGACTGTCCCTGCCTAGCAGCTCCCCCATACCCACTACCTTCTCCCCTGCAAGGTCAGCTCTGTAATAAATACCTTTGTTTTTGAAATAGGGTGCTGCTCAAGTCATACAAGTTATGCAGGGGTGCCTTGAGTCTGCAAAGGTTGAGAACCACTGCTCCACCTGGTGCTGTGAGTCTCTTGCAAGTCCTTCATCTGTTTTGCAGGACAGGGAGATCAAAGAGACGGGGCTGCAGGAACTGAGGGGGTACTCTTTAGCACAGCAGGGCTGGGCGAGATGTCTCTCCACATTGCTGTTTTTATTGCAGGGGACCCAATGTTCTGGCTTGAGGGTCCTGAGCAAAGCAAGGAGGAGATGGTAGCTCACCCTGCGGGGCTGAGCATGCAGGGAAGGTGTTTCTCTTGCAAGGTGGGAGTGCAGTGCTATAGGTAAGGGTCATAAGGAAGCCCGAGTCTTCCCTCTCACAGCACAAGACTTGCCGGGCCTGCTCAGACCATGGGCTCTCCTGTTCTCCATCCCCCACTCCCGAGTGCCTCTGTCTCCAGGATCCTCAACTTTGCCAGCCCTGATGGAGGGCAGATGGGTTTAATGACCCGCTCTGGAAATGCTGGTGTTGTCATGGACAGTTGTCTTGGGAACCTACCATGAGAAGAGGTATGCCACAGGACTCTTTCTGAGGTCCAGCTGATGGCCTATCCTCTGCTTAGATGTGAATTTATATGAAGGATTAAAAGCTACTGTGTTCTGCGGTAATAGCAAAAGGGGTAAGAGAGCAGCAGAACAAGCACGAAGGCCAGGTAGAGGCATTTCAAGGTTTGGATACATGGTAGGGCATTTATTGACAGCAGTCCTGGCATGGCAGGCCCTGCAATATTTCTCAAATATACTATAAGCACCATCCCACTCCATGTGAGAGGCCAGGCTTCTCAAGTTTAATTCACCATTGGAGGGGAACAGCACCGCTTGTCTTACTTCCTTGGCTTGTAATTTCTATGGGGTAGGGGGCCATCTTTTGGGCCCATTTCTATTAACCAGTCCTGGCTCCAGTGACTGAAGCTGCCCAGTGTGACCGTGCTACCAACGAGGCTGGTGGTTTCTCTTTCCTGGCCCAGAGAGCTCAGCTGCCTGGGTGCAGCTGGTGGCCGTGGATCTCGGTTGTGTTTTTCTGACGCTGTGTTTCTCTTAAACCCTCAGAAAATGAGTTCCGGGGTGAGCTGCTGAATCAAAGGTGGACCTGTGGAGACAAGATCAGCAGTTGCGAGACAAAAAGCCTACACAGCAGACGCATCAAGGTGAGAAGGCAGGTGCCACACGCGAGCTGGCACACAGCGGAGATGCTGTGCTTCCCCCCTGCTTTGGGGTCCCACCTCCCTCCCATCATGAAAGTGGGGAATCGGCCACCCTAATGTAAGCTGCAGCCCTTCAGGATGGCAAGTAGCATAGGGGACCCAGAGGAGACTTAGCAAAAGCCCCTTGCTGTAGCAAATCCCTGACATGGTGCTTAAAAAGCAGGGGGACCTCCAGATATATTGAACTGGCATCCTGACCCACATCTGGATTTCAAAATCCTTCCCCTCCTCCTGTCCCTGTCATTCGAGGATGCTTGGATTTAGAGAGCTGGGTCAGGCCAATCTCTATATATAAAAAGAAAAAGAAAGGCCTTTTCTGTAGGATGCAGGCTGATCGGAA